AAACACTAGCTCTGAAAGTCTACAGATCATTAAGAGAGAATCAAAAATAAAAATACTTCTCAGTAAATCACAACAAATGTCCCTTTCCTGTTTCCCTGCTTTTCAGACATTCCTGGATAGATTACTGCATGATGAAAACACTATGTAATCGTTGGCTGTACCCAAAACTTGAGACATTCTCTTGGGAGTCTAAATATTTTTTAAATGCACAGCAGAATTAGACCAAGTGGTTCCCAGTCTACGTCCCAGAACAAAGAATGAACAAAACAACTACAATCTACAGCACTTTTCAGTGTCTAGGAAAATTTTTTTAAAGTTTTTCTTAAACCTCAAACAATCCATAAGCATGGGCATATAAACCACCAGGAGGTAGATTACGTATGGCTCAAAGTAAATCTGCAGAGTAAACAGAAGCAGGATACCCCTGAAAGGAAAGACAAGATCCGTATCCAATTTAACTGTGATTCATTCACCAGATCAGGAAAGCAGGTGAGGCAGGGAGTGAGTGTGATTCTAAGCCACAGGGACAGGGCAGTGAGCGTGAACAGTAAGTGCACAGGTCTGGCTACAGAGAAGTGGAGAGCAGTGAGTGAGGCCGGAAGGGCCATTCAACTGTGAACGCCCTTGTATGCCACGCTAGGGATCTTGGGGGATCTTCGTTTTCGTCCTCAAGGCAATAAGAGAAGCATTTCCTTCACTGATAACAAGATAACCAGCACGAGCTTTGAAAGATGAGCAGGATTTCAACACTCAGAAAGGCAATGGGAGGAAAGTACTCCAAATGAAGGCAGCAACAGACCAGGTGGGAGTACAGCCCAAGATGACGACCAACATGGCTAAAATGTAATCCAGATGATGAAGGGCCTTACCTGTGCGAGTGAAGAATGTGTACTTAATTATATAGGTAACGGGAGTCAATGGCAGTTACTGAGTAGGGGAGTGGCCTGACTGCAGCTGCACTTAAGAAAATAAATTTGACAGTAATGCTGAGGGTGCGATGGAATGGGACAGGTTGAGACAGGAAACCCAATGAGAAGGCTCTTGCCCCACTGCGGGTGAGAGGTGCCAAGGCCACAGAACACCTAACACTTCCAGGTCCCTCTACTCTACTCATTCCTAGTACCTGAAACGTTTCACCCTGTGTTGTTGCAATCTGCCAAACCTCACCCACTGCCGTCAGGGATGAAAACCTAATACTGGTTAATACTCATATATATGCTATAGGGAGTTAAGCATTTCAGCGCTTTAGATAATCTCTTTTAAACAAAAAAGACAAGTATTAGCAATATGTACTATTCACATCAAAAAAGATTTTGCAGACATTATTTAAAGGTTTATTTTAATGCATTAAATTTGGGAAATACTGGGGAAAAGAACATCTAATTATTTCAGACAGTGAATGAAGCTACAACAGGTTTCAAACAGTGCTACCTATAATGCCATAAAAACAACTGAAAATAAATACTGTCATTTTTATCTAACTTTCACCTAGTTAGATAAAATGAACTTCTCACTTCTCATATGGACAATGTAATTAACTGATGTATGAGTAAGCTAAAATTGTTGACATTGTGTATATAATGACTTTAATTATAGACTCACTATACCTCTTCATTTGATAACTGGGCTGAAGATTCTTCTTGAGTTAAAGCACACACTACTGGTATTTTTATTTCTTCCTCAACATCTGTTTTTTTGTGATCCTTTCTCTTATTGAGTCTCTGTTGTTCATCATCCTCCTAAAAGTTAGGAAGAAAAAAACATATATGTGACCCAAGTAACCTACTTAATAAGTGACATCGTTCTTTAACCATTCAAAACAAATAAGAAAGAACAGAGCATTATGATACAAGAAAACTGGACACTTACGCTTCTTTGTTTGTAATCCCATATAAGGGCCTCTGGAAATGACAAAATATTTTAATACTATAAGCACAAACTAAGAACCCTGGTATAAAGAAGAAATCAGGAAGCAGCTTCCAAGAAAAGTATACTGCATAAAGTAAGGCAAAACAAAAGAAAGCAAAACTGACTCTTCAAATGATCCATGAAAAAAAAAAAAAAATTTTTTTACACAGAACATTCCTTGTGATTACTGTAGAAAATAAATACGAAAAAGTCTGTTTTTGAGACAAGGTCTTGCTCTGACACTCAGGCTGGAATGCAGTGGTGCAAACATGGTTCACTGCAGCCTCGATCTCCTGGGCTCAAGCAATTCTCCCACCTCATCCTCTCATATAGCTGGGATCATAGGCATGTGCCATCACGACTGCCTAATTTTTTTATTTTTTGTAGAGACAGGGTTTCACTTTGTTGCCGAGGCTGGTCTTGAACTCCTGGACTCAAGCAATCCTCCTGCCTCAGCCTCTCGTGTAGCCAGGATCACAGGCATGCACCACCATGCCTGGCTAATTTTTTGGGTTTTTTTGTATAGATGGGATCTCACGCTGTTGTCCTGGCTGGTCTCAAACTCCCAGGCTCAAGAGATCCTCCCGCCTTGGCCTCTCAAAGCGTTGGGAATATAGGCGTGAGATACCACACCCCTCCCAAAAAAGTTTTTATAATGTTACACATCCATTAGAAACATTAACAAATGTATATGAATACAAAAGGAATGATTAAAGTTGATAGAATAATTCATTCAACAAAGATGAGTGAGATACCTTATACCTTAGGAATGATTAAAGTTAATAGAATAATTCACTCAACAAAGATGAGTGAGATATCTTATACCTTCAGTGTACCCTAAAACAGCCTAGTGAGGAGAGACACACACTTACAAGTATGTACAAGGTTATAAAGAAGGAGGAAAAACAATGACTGATTTCATCTGAAGGAACCAGCAAAGGGGGCCCAAAGGAGGTAACGCTTCAGCTGAATCTTGAAAGATCAGTAAGGTAAGTTTGCCAGTTGCATGAGAAGAGAAAATTAAGGGTTCTAGGGAGAAAGGAAGCACATGCAAAAGACAGAAACATGGAAAAGCAGGCCTGTGGGGGAATTCTGTGTAATTTTATATGGATGAAAAATGGGCAGGCACAGGAGAAGTAAAAGACACGGAGAAAGAGGTGGTGAGTAAGCACTCAGACTCTGGAATCAGAGATTGTTCAAGCCTCAGATGGGCCATACATTACTTCTCAGCCTGTTCACTACTCTAGAACACAGGAACTGTATAACTGCAGTCCCTACCACTTACGGAGAGTTCAGTTTTGTTTTTTTCTTTTTTTTTGGATAAGCACTTGAGATAAAGATTTATACATAAAGCCTTAGCACAATGCTAGCACACAGTAAGAGCTCAATAAATGTTCAAAAGTTTTAAATGATCATCTTAGTAAAGTTTAGACTCTTTTTGTTTTTGTTTTTTTGAGACAGAGTCTCACTCTGTCACCCAGGCTGGAAGGCATGATGCGATCTCAGCTCACTGCAACCTCCGCCTCCCAGGTTCAAGTGATTCTCCTGCCTCAGCTTCCCAAGTAGCTGGGACTCCAGACACGTGCCACCAGACCCGGCTAATTTTTGTATTTTTAGTAGAGACAGGGTTTTGCCATGTTGACCAGGCTGGTCTCAGACTCCTGACCTGAGGTGATCCACCCGCCTTGGACTCCCAAAGTGCTGGGATTACAGATGTGAGCCACTGCACCCGGCCACATTTAGATTCTTTTAATGGGCGGCAGGGGAGGCAGGATAAGATCTGTACTTTAGAATCTAAATCCTTATGTCAGGGGGTCGTGGTGGCTCACGCCTGTAATCCCAGTACTTTGGGAGGCTGAGACGGGCAGATCACTAGAGGTCAGGAGTTTGAGACCAGCCTGGGCAACGTGGTGAAACACTGTCTCTACTAAAAATGCAAAAATTAGCCAGGCGTGGTGGCACACGCCTGTAGTCCCAGCTACTTGGGCAGCTGAGACAGAAGAATCGCTTGAGCCCGAGAGGCGGAGGTTGCAGTGAGCCAAGATTGTCCCACTGCACTCCAGCCTGGGTGACTGGAGTGAAACCCTGTCTCAAAAAAAAAAAAAAAATCCTTATGTTGGCTTTGACTACATATAAGACAAATGAGTCCAAATTAAGAGACAAAAAGGAAATTTAAAAAAGAAGAAACTTTGCAAAACAAAATCTAACCTAAGTCACATAAAGCAATTTGAAATGTTTGACAAGATACTTAGAAAGGCAGGGAACACTTTTACATAGCTATCCTAGGGAAATATCTGCACACATACACAATATGGTCAAGGATTTAGCTGCAACATTATTTGAGATGACAAGAAAAGGGGGACCACCTAGATGCCCACTACAAGGAGAAAGGGTAAATCAATATGGTGCCTCCATGCCACAGTCAAGAGCAAAATACAACGTTGATATGAAAATATATCCAGGATAATGCATATGGGAAATACATACACTTTTTTTTGAGACAAGATCTTGCTTTGTAACCCACAGCTGAAGTGCAGTAGTGTGATCACAGCTCACTGCAGCCTCTGCCTCCAGGATCAAGTGATCCTCCCACCTCAGCCTCCCAAGTAGCTGGAACTACAGGCACGTGCCACCATGCCCAGCTATTTTTTTTATTTTTTTATTTTTTGTAGAAACAGAGTCTCACTATATGGCCCAGGCTGGTCTTGACCTCTTGGGCTCAAGCAATCCTCCCGCCTCAGCCTCCCAAAGTGTTGGGATTATAGACGTGAACCACCATGCCCTGCCTAGAATAAATGCTTATAGTATAACCATAGTTGTGTAGGAGGAAAACTATACCCTAAAAGTGTATCATGAACACACAGAACTGGTTTAGAAGACTCTCTACCAAATGGTAAAACAATCTTCTGACAAGGGGAGGTGTGAGAGATGTTAAGGAAGATTTTTCACTTGATCACTTCATATTTATTTTTTCCACTGTATTTAAAACAAAAAAATTATGATAATGTGTAAAAATATATATATATAATTCATGCAATTTAAATAACTAAAAGATAAGGAGAAGACAGGAACCTAAATATGTCGCGCTCTGAACATCTGCCACCTCCTATTACTCAGCCTCTCCATTCATATCATGTCACCTAGTAGAGCTTTTAGAGCAGGGTGTCCAATCTTTTGGCTTCCCTGGGCCACACTGAAGAAGAACTGTCTTGACTACACACAAAATACACTAACGACAGCTGATGAGCTAAAACAAACAAACAAAAAAAGATTGCAAAAGAAATCTCATAATGTTTTAACAAAGTTTACAAATTTCTGTTGGGTTGCATTCAAAGCCAAGGGCTGCAGGTTGGACAAGCTTGTTTTACAGCAATGTCACCCAAGACTTGGCCTGGACTGATAAAACCCAGGAGCACTGGGAGAACTGGTCAGCAGGGGAGAGAAAGATTTTCTCCGAAGTATGCACTGCTGCATCCTGCAGTCACTGAAGACCATTTCTAAATCAGTTTCCCCACTCCCTAGAGGAGGCCCTTTCTAAAGATGAAAAACAAAGCCCCTCAAATGTAGCTGTCATGTTTTTAAAAGTGGCACATATCACCTTGTTGCAGCTTCAGTCAGTCTCTAATACACATAAGGTAATGCAATCACATGTGGTGGGGGACATTACTGACAAGGCAAATCAGTCCTCAAAACTTCTATTCACCTGATCTTTCTTCTTCAGTTCTTCAACTTGTCGGAGCTGTTCTGAAGTTAGCACAATCTCCATTCGCTGCATGTCTCTCATCAGTAAACGCTGAGATTCCAGAAACTGGTCATTGGCCTTCTGCCACGTATGCTTTAACTGGTTGTGTTGTTGTCGCTCTTGCTCCAAGAGATGGCAAACTGTTTAGGAACCCCCCACCACAAATCAAAAACACTGAATTTTAATGTAGGCAATTTCTTTAGCACAGGGCTCCTAGCCAGGTCTGACCAATGGTCCACATCTCTAGGATTCTATTCTTAGCTGGACCAAGGGGCAACCTATCCCCACATCATCTCTTTAAAGCAGAGTCTCCCAAAGTGGACTCCTAGGAACACAGCAAAGAAAGATTTCTGTGCTTAGTAAAGTCTTAGAAACTTCAGGTTAAAGGGATAAATTTATTATTATTATTATTATTATTATTTTGCAAAGGCTCCTCCATAATTAAATAAATTTTTAAAGATTTCTTTACTGCAGGACTTTGAACTCGGGGTCTTAATTATGTCTTATGTTTTCTTGGAAGGTGATATATAATATAGCCTTTCCTAAATCTATTTGACAAAAGAAAAAAAAAAAACTTTTCACAGTACAACTCAAATAACAAGTATTCTAGAGAATATACTTTGGGAAACATTGCTCCAAAGGCCAAAGGTGGAATAAACACTCCTAATTGTGTTTAATACATTCTGATAAATCTGTTATCCAGAAATCCTCACTGGGTCCGGTTAATATAGACTTATGACAGGTCAAGGAATCTTTGTAAAATGTATGTGTTGTTGATACTCATCAGCTCAGCCATCTTCTACTGAAAAGAGAGGAGGTAGCATGATCCATCCACCCATCTACCAAGTCAGAAACCCGAGACAGCTCATACTTCTGACTTTTCCTTACCCCAACATATTCAGCTATGACAGAGACCTGCTAATTCGGCCTCCTCTGCAATATGATACATCTATCTTCTGGCTTCTGCCTTAGACCAGCGCTTATGACTTAAACAACTACAACAGAGGCCCCTTTTTCATTCTTCTGCCCTCAGTCTTGCCCTCCCTATTCTATTCACCACAGTGCTATTAGATTGAACTTTCTAAAATGCAAAACAAATATTACCACTCTCCAGTCAAAAACCCTTCACTGAACCCAGACACAAAAAGGCACATATTACAAAATCCCATTCACATCAAAGTCCAGAACAGGCAAGTCCACAGAGATAGAAAGGAGATTAGTGGTTGCCAAGGGCTGGAGGTAAGACATAGGAAGTGACGGTAAATGGGTACAGGATTTCTTTTTGAGGTAATGAAAATGTTTTGGAAGTAGACAGTGGTGATAGGGCACAATTTTGTGAATATATTAAAAACTACTGAATTGTATACTTTAACGAGTGAACTTTATGGCATGCAAATTTTATCTTAATAAAACTATTATTTCAGAGAAAATAGGCTGGGCGCAGTGGCTCATGCCTGTAATCCCACCACTTTGGGAGGCCGAGGTGGGTGGATCACGAGGTCAGGAGATCAAGACCATCCTGGCTAACCCAGTGAAACCCCATCTCTACTAAAAATACAAAAAAAATTAGCCGGGTGTGGTGGCGCGCACCTGTAGTTCCAGCTACTTGGGAGGCTGAGGCAGGAGAGTGGCATGAACCCAGGAGGCGGAGCTTGCAGTGAGCCGAGATCTCACCACTGCACTCCAGCCTGGGTGACAAGGGCAAGACTCCATCTCAAAAAACAAACAAACAAACAAACAAACAAAAAACCAAAGAAAATAAAAAAACCTTCAGAGGCTCTGAACTGCCCAGATGATCAAGTCCAATATTCTTAGCATAAAACCTCTATGTACTGGTCTGTTTCTACTGCTCCAATCTCACATTTTGCCCATTGCCTCTTGTATTCTAATTGTGCTGAACTGCTTTTCTTAGACTTCCTCACCTAACTGCATCACATGCAAATGACCTTGAATGCCATGCTTCTGAGTACCTGACAAGCACCTACCCACCTTCCAAAACTCCACTTAAGGACAACTTCTTTTAAGAAGCCTATCTGGGCCGGGCGTGGTGGCTTACACCTGTAATCCCAGCACTTTGGGAGGCCGAGGCAGGTGGATCACCTGAGGTCGGGAGTTCGAGACCGGCCTGACCAACATGGAGAAACACCCCATCTCTAATAAAAATACAAAATTAGCCAGGCGTGGTGGCACATCCTATAATCCCAGGTACTCGGGAGGCTGAAGCAGGAGAATCACTTGAACCCAGGAGGTGGAGGTTGCGGTGAGCTGAGATCGCACCATTGCACTCCAGCCTAGGCGACAAGAACGAACCTCCGTCTCAAAAAAAAGACTCTATTTTCTATTGTGAGTGTTTCAGTATGGAAATTACTCCACGTCCTTCCTCATTTTAATTAACCTTCTCAGGTCAGGTACTTTTCTTTTTTTTTTTGAGACAGAGTCTTGCTCTGTCGCCCAGGCTGGAGTGCAGTGGCTGGATCTCAGCTCACTGCAAGCTCCGCCTCCCGGGTTCACGCCATTCTCCTGCCTCAGCCTCCCGAGTAGCTGGGACTACAGGCGCCTGCCACCTCGCCCGGCTAGTTTTTTGTATTTTTTAGCAGAGACGGGGTTTCCCCGTGTTAGCCGGATGGTCTCGATCTCCCGACCTCGTGATCCGCCGTCTCGGCCTCCCAAAGTGCTGGGATTACAGGCTTGAGCCACCGCACCCGGCCAACCTTCTCAGGTACTTTTCAAGGGTTATTAGGAAGGTTTGGTAGTCTCAATAATTTACATTATTTCTGAAAGTGTTAGAGGGACGTAGTTTAAACTGAACTAGTTCTTTTGGACACCTTTAAGAATATGAGTGTCTTTTTATTGCAATAGCACACTTGGAAACTGTTTCCTGAAGGCCAAAACTTTACTCAAAGTTTGGGTTATTTTCATAATATTTTAGTGGGGAAAGAATGTGCCCCTGGAAAACAGAGTCAATTTCTGTATCACTCTGCTACCACTCTGAAGACGGGGGTAATTCAGCTGATGGTAAAAGAGTCCATATGGCAGATTTAAAATGGTGGTATATAACCCACTAATTCTACCAGTTATTATTTTTTGGGATAAACATTTGGTTTAATTAATAATGAATTTCTAATATTTGAAAACTACTGAGCAGTGAAATCAAAACTGTCCCTTAAAAACAGGACAGTACTTGGGGCCTCCAGAATACACTCTCTGCCCTTTCCAATTTTAACTTTTGCTAATACACCTCCATCAAAATGAGTGCGGGGGAAAAGTAGTTTAAGCAGAAATTCCCCGCTTTATTATCTTTCTGCCCAAAGTTCATGCCTGGTGAAGTTGGGTTTCTTGTTTTTTGTTTTTTGTTTTTTTTGAGATGAAGTCTCACTCTGTCACCCAAGCCACAGTGCAGTGGTGTGAGCTCGGCTCACTGCAACCTCTGCCTTCTGGGTTCAAGTGATTCTTGTGCCTCAACCTCCCAAGTAGCTGGGATAACAGGTGTGCATCACCACACCTGGCTAATTTTTGTTTTCTCAGTAGAGACAGGTTTTTGCCATGTTGGCCAGGCTGGTCTCGAACTCCTGACCTCAGGTGATCTGCCCGCCTTGGCCTCCCAAAATGCTGGAATTATAGGAGTGAGCCACTGCATCTGGCTGCCTTGTAAAGTTATTACTGAGGTCATGAAGGAAAATCCATAATTTCAGGTTTGCATGAGTGCATTTAAACCAACTATAAGGCTTAAATTGAATCACTAACATGTTGCATTGTTATTTTAAGATTTGTCATTGTTATTAGTCAACATCAATTTAACTTATATGGTTCTTAGAGACAAAGATAAAAATATACAGAATATTTATTTACCTTCATGCAATTCTTTCCGCAGTTTCTCAGCATCTTCCTGTAGAACAGATTTCTGAGTATTCAAAACAGCTACATACATCTCTAGATCAGTCCTACAAGATTTCTCAGCTTCCAGATAATGATTCAGTTCTTTAACCTGAAAGAAGATGCAATTCCATTAAACTGAAATTTACAACAGTTTCTATCTTAGATACAAAATGATGGTAAGTTCTGGCTATGCCTTTAAAAAAATTGACACTTTTACATCTACATTTTACATCTACATAAATTACCATTTATAATTTTTAATTATAAAATAATATAGAAAACTGGGAAAATAACGTAATAGATGTCATCCATAATCATACCACCAGAATAAAATATACAATTGAGATTTCACATAAGTTTTGTCCCTTGCTTTTCAAAAAGGTAGTTCCAATTTGTATTCCCACAGCAACATATGCATGTGTCTGTTTTAGCCATAATAGTAACACCAGGTATGTTTTGCTTTTTTAAATTGATAATTTCTAAGGACAAAAATGATACCATACACTTTTAAGTTTGCTTTCCTTTTATTTCTGGTGAGGGAATTCCAAATGTAAATTTATATATTTAATGTATAAAGACATTTTCACAGATATATATACTTATGGAAGTGAAAAAGAGGAAATTATGATGGAACAAATAACTAATCTCACATTGTAATGACTTAAAGGCAAATGCAGAATACTTTTTAAAATCACATCTTGCCCAGGTATGTTGGCTCATGCCTGTAATCCTAGCACTTTGGGAGGCAAAGGTGGGCAGAATGCTTGAGTTCAGGAGTTTGAAACTAGCCTGGGAAACATGGAGAAACCCTGTTTCCAAAAAATAATAATAAAACCACATCTTTTAAAAAAAAAATGCTTTATTTCTGTTGATCAATTAAGTGTAATACTCAAAATAGTAACAATATAGTCTAATATAGGAAAGTTATAACCAAAAAAAATTTAATTCTTCCCCAGAAATTCAAGGATTATGTCACTTTAACCTGTCACATAAATTGTCCATTCTAAATTCTAACCTTTCAGTTAACTTTCAACTTTTTCGAATGGTTATATCTAATATCACATGCAAAGTCCTTTTCATGCCCTTTATCTTCCTATTTCTTCAAACTTAAAATGGTTTCTCTGTTTTCAGTTATCTTTACTTCTAGGCCATCATGCAATAATAGTCAAAGATTTAAATGACTATGTAAGCAATCATTTGGTGCTTCACTGAAGGCTGACGGTCCAGCACATGATATGAACAAAGAATGGTAAAGTCACAACTATCGTGAAATGCTTTCTCTGACACCTGAAGACGGGGGTAATTCAGCTGATGGTAAAAGAGTCCATATGGCAGATTTAAAATGGTGGTATATAACCCACTAATTCTACCAGTTATTATTTTTTGGGATAAACATTTGGTTTAATTAATAATGAATTTCTAATATTTGAAAACTACTGAGCAGGACTCTGAGTAACTTTGAATTACTTTGAGTTCCATACCCTGTAATGACCAAAACCAAAAACAAATGGACATCTACAAGAAGCCAGGGGACAAGGAGAGGGTGCACACCAACCACTGAAAGTTACCTATTCGGGAAAATGTACGTGGTATTAGGATCTATGCAGGAGAAAGTACAGAGAAGCAACAAGGGCCATAAGAAACCAGAAACAGTCACCTGGGAGTACAATTTGACAACAGTGCCTTGAACGGAAGAGTTTCACATACACCAGTCGTCGGTGAATGCGACAGATTTCTCTGTAGCACTTACAACCCGGTTAGGGTAAAATGGTGTCCCACTTTTACATTTCCCCAATTTCTAGTGTGGTTGAATGTTGAATATCTTTTCACATGCCTTGACTATTCTGGTTTCCTCTTTTGTTCAATGACTGCGCATACACTTTACCTGTTTGTTTTTTTCTTTTTTTTCTTTTTTACAGAGACCGAGTCTCAATTTGTCGTCCAGGCTGGAGGGCGGTGCCGCAATCTCAGCTCACTGCAACCTCAACCTCCAGCTCCTGGGTTCAAGCAATTCTCATGCCTCAGCCTCCCAAGTAGCTGGGATTACAAGTGTGTGCCACCTGGCTATACTTTACCTGTTTTTCTTTTTTCTTTTGAGACGGAGTTTCGCTCTGTCCCCCAGGCTGGAGTGCAGTGGCGCGATCTCGGCTCACTGCAAGCTCCGCCTCCCGGGTTCACGCCATTCTCCTGCCTCAGCCGCCCAGAGTAGCTGGGACTGCAGGCGCCGCCACCTCGCCCGGGTAATTTTTTGTATTTTTAGTAGAGACGGGGTTTCACCTCATTAGCCAGGATGGTCTCCATCTCCTGACCTCGTGATCCGCCCGCCTCGGCCTCCCAAAGTGCTGGGATTACAGGCGCGAGCCACCGCACTTGGCCACTTTACCTGTTTTTCTTCAGAATTGTCACTTGTGGACTTGGCAATTTCGAGAGTGTCTCGCTCTGTTGCTCTGGCTGGAGTGCAGTGGCGCAACCTAGGCTCACTGCAGCCTTCATCGCCCGGGTTCAAGCAATTCTTGTGCCTTAGCCTCCCAAGTAGCTGGGACTACGGGCACCCACCACCATGCCTGGCTAATTTTTTGTATTTTTAGTAGAGACAGGGTTTCTCCATGTTGCCCAGGCTGGTCTCAAACTCCTGGTCTCAAGCAATCTAAGTACTAGGATTACAGGTGTAAGCCACCGCGTCCAGCCAACTTAGCAATTTTTATTATTATTTTGGATATTAATATTTTGTCAGTTAAGAGGTACTGATATCTTCTTATAGTCTGTAGCTTCTCTTTTCAACTTTTTGTATTAATAGTATCTTTTAACAAAGAACTTTATAATGTAGCTAAACTTGCCAGTTTTCCTTTCACAGTCAGTATTTTTGTCTTAAGAAACCTTGGGGCCGGGCGCGGTGGCTCAAGCCTGTAATCCCAGCACTTTTGGAGGCCAAGGTGAGTGGATCACATGAGGTCAGGGGTTCGAGATCAGCCTGGCCAACATGACAAAACCCCGTTTCCACTAAAAATACAAAAATTAGCCAGGTGCAGTGGCCCAGGCCTGTAATCCCAGCTACTCGAGAGGCTGAGGCAGGAGAATTGCTTGAAACTGGGAGGCGGAGGTTGCAGTGAGCCAAGATTGTGCCACCACACTTCAGCCTAGGTGACACAGCAAGACTGACTCCAAAAAAAAAAAAAGAAATCTTTTTGAAGACAAGGTGGAGAGAGTGGGCCTACCTATCAGATAGTACGGCTTGCAGTCAAGCTACTATAATTAAGATAGTTTGTTACTGGTTTAGGAATAAACCTGTCACCCAGGCTGGAGTGCAGTGGTGCAATCTCGGCTCACTACAACTTCCACCTCCTGGGTTCAAGTGATTCTGGTGCCTCAGTCCCAAGTAGCTGGGACTCCAGGCAAGCACCACCATATCTGGCTAATTTTTGTATTTTTTGTAAAGAAAGAGTTTCACTATGTTGTGCTGGCTGGTCTTAAACTCCTAAGCTCAAGCAATCCGCCCACCTCAGCCTCCCAAAGTGCTGGAATTACAGGCATGAGCCACCGCACATGGCCAGATAATAACTTATGTATTATTATTATTTTTGAGACAGAGTTTCACTTGTCGCCCAGGCTGGAGTGCAATGGTGAGATCTTGGCTCCCTGCAACCTCCACCTCCCAGGTTCAAGCGGTTCTCCTGCCTCAGCCTCCCAAGTAATTGGAATTACAGGCGGATGCCTGGTTAATTTTTGTATTTTTAGTAGATGCAGGGTTTCTCTTTTTTTTTTGAGACAGAGTCTCCCTCTGTCGCCCAGGCTGGAGTGCAGTGGCAGAATTTCGGCTCACTGCAAGCTCTGCCTCATGAGTTCACGCCATTCTCCTGCCTCAGCCTCCCAAGTAGCTGGGACTACAGGCGCCCGCCACCACACCCAGCTAATTTTTTGTATTTTTAGTAGAGACGGGGTTTCACCATGTTAGCCAGGATGGTCTCGATCTCCTGACCTCGTGATCCACCGGCCTCGGCCTCCCAAAGTGCTGGGATTACAGGCGTTAGCCACCATGCCCAGCCAAGTAGAGGCAGGGTTTCACCACATTGGCCAGGCTGGTCCTGAATTCCTGACCTCAGGTGATCCACCTGCCTTGGCCTCCCAAAGTGCTGGCATGGCAGGTGTGAGCCACCGCACCCAGCCAAAAAGGGTATTTTTTAACAATCCATTCTTCCCCCACTGATCTGTAATGCCACCTGTCATATATCAAATTTACACATATATGTAGGTCTATTTCTGGGCTGTTTTATTGATCCATCTGTTTATCCCTAAACCAGTAACAAACTATCTTAATTATAGTAGCTTTACTGAGGTCCTACTATCTGATAGGTAGGCCAAGTCTCCTCATCTTGTCTTCAAAATTTTGCTAAGTATATTTCTGTTCCTTTATTTCTCTATATGAAGTCTATTTCTAGAACTGAATTAATCAAGCTCCTTATTAAACCCTGTTGAATTCTGAGTAAAATTAAAAAATTTGGGGATACAAATGGAGGGTTTCTTTTTTTTTTTCCTTTGAGACGCAGTCTCGCTTTATCGCCCAGGCTAGAGTGCAGTGGCACGACCTCAGCTCACTGCAACCTCTGCCTCCTGGGTTAAAGCAATTCTCCTGCCTCAGCCTCCTGAGTAGCTGGGCTTCCGCCACCATGCTCAGCTAATTTTTGTACTTTTAATAAAGAGACCGGGTTTCGCCATGTTGGCCAGGCTTGTCTCAAACTCCTAACCTCAGGTCATCCCCCTACCTTGGCCTCCCAAAGTGCTAGGTTACAGGTGTGAGCCACCGCACCTGGCCCAATGCTCTATCTTTTCATTCAGGAAAATACACAGATTCAGGTCCTCATTTATGATGTAGTCTCTAAGGACCCTGCCCATCTTTGTTTAGCTATATTGGTAGGTAACTAGTTTTTTGTTTTGTTTTTGTTTTTGTTTTTTAACTCTTGTGAATAGGATCAATCTTTCTCCCCCCACTGCATTCTTGAACTGGGGCATAGAAAAACAACTATTTTTGTATGTTGATTTTGTTAGAACAACTTTCAAATTGTTGAACTCTTATTAAGTCTAACTATCTGTTGTACATTCCCTGGTTTCTTTATATAGACAATTGAATCAGTCTCGTAGCTTTCTTTCCAGTTCTTATACCTCATTTCTGAATTACTGGGCATGGGTCTGCCCCAGAATGTTCCCATCATTAACGGTAAGGCTGCTAAATATTCATCCTTAACTATGTTTGCTAAAGGTTTGATTAATAGCCCCTTACTAAGTTATTGTGGTTAAATTTCTCAAATACTTTTCTGAATCCAAGACGAATATGCTGTTCTTCTCCAATCATTTTATGTGTACATTGCAATAATAGATTTTCTGATAAATTTCTGGGAATAAACCCTTAGTCATGATGTATTTCTCCCCGTTTATTTTAGCTACAATGCTGAAAATTTTAGCTTCTGTATTCCTGAGACAGATCGGTAATTTTTTCTCATACTACCTTTCTATGTGTTTGTTCACTTGTAGTGAAGATCTACTAGTCTCATAAAATGATTTGGAGAGCTTTCTCTCTTTTTGTATTCCCTGAGATTTTGTAAAATATAAGAATTTGCTCTTTCCAGAAAGTCTGAAAAAACTTACCTGTAAAACCAACAGTTTAATGTCTTTCGGTGAGAGGAGACAACAGACAATAAGATTTTTTACTCTAGATCCACTGTCTTTAATAATTACTGACTACCTTAGCTTTCCTGTTTTGGAACAATTTTGGCTATCTTTTATTAGAAATTTTTTTTCATCTGTTTTCAAATTTATTTGTGTGACATTGTTTATAGTACTTGTTATTTTTAAATTTCTACTGATTTGTAGTTATGTCCTCTGTTTTTTTTGTTTTTAAGACAGGCTCCCTTGCCCAGGCTGGTGTGCAGTGGCACCATCATGGCTCACCACAGCCTCAACCCCTTGAGCTCAAGTGATCCTTCTGCCTCAGCCTCACAAAGTGCTAGGATTATAGGCATGAGCCTCCCCACTTGGCCTCACTTCTGATTTCTTTTTGTTTTCATTTTTTCTGATCAGTCTTACTAGAGATTTGTGTATAGGTTTTCCATTTCTTCATTATACTGATATTCTCTATTGTTCTTTTGCTTTTCTATTTCACAAATTTATATTATTTATGTTTTTCCTTTCCATTTATTCTTATTCTTTTTTTTTTTTTTTTGAGACGGAGTTTTGCTCTTGTTGCCAAGGTTGGAGTGCAATGGCAATATCTCAGCTCACTGCAACCTCTGCCTCCCGGGTTCAAGCAATTCTCCTGCCTCAGCCTCCCCAGTAGCTGGGATTATAAGCACCTGCCACCATGCCCAGCTGATTTTTTGCATTTTTAGCAGAGATGGGGTTTCACTATGTTGGCCAGGCTGGTCCCGAAGTCTCCTGACCTCAGGTGATCCACCCACCTAAGCCTCCCAAAGTGCTGGGATTACAGGCATGAGCCACTGTGCCTGGCTCAATTTGTACTTGTTTTTTTTTTTAAAAATCTGGCATTATTCACATCATTCTAAATATTTTGTAATTACTTTTTCCATGAGTATTTTTTTCATGTCCAGGCATTTTAACTATCATTTTAATGTAAATAACTGAATAACCCATAGTTACAGAATTGGGTCTGTGTAACCTCAATTCTAAGATAATGTATCTAAAAATAACTACACCTTGTCCCAGATACTATCCTAAATGTTTATAGGTATTAATTTACATGTTCCTCATAATAGCCATATGGTGGCTATTATAGGAATTTATATGTTCCTCATAATAGATACATGGCGACTATTAAGGTGGGCTTATTATCCCCATTTCACAGTTGAGAAAATCAAAGCACAGTATGATTAAGTAATTTACCCAAGGTAACCCAGGCTACCAAATGCTGAGCTTTTAACTATTATGTTCTAGTACTGTATGTGATACCATCTTGTTCTTGGATACCAAGTTGTGTGTCAGCTACAACTAAATTATTAACCTGATAGTTCAAAGTGTCTATAGCTCTACTAATAATTTTTTCTGATTATATTCTCTAAAGGTCAATTTTAATCTGCTACTGTATTTGTGAAAGTCAGTTTCTTCTTGTAATTGTCATTATTAGTTCATGCATTTCATGACTATGTAAAGTGCATTCAAGTTCATGACTATTATATCTTACTTATGAACTGTTTTTTAGATAGGATCCTTCTTTATCTCTATTAGTGGCTTTTACCCCCTTATCCCATCTTTGTGATACTACACTCGCTATAGCAGCTTTCTTTTGGTTCTAATTTACATGGTATATTTTTATCCCTTTATTTTCAATCTTTTTTCTTTTCTTTTTTTTTTTTTTTTTGAGATGGAGTCTCATCTGTTGCCCACGCTGGAGTGCAGTGGTGCGGTCTCAGCCCACTGCAACAACCTCCACCTCCTGGGTTCAAGAAATTCTCCTGCCTCAGCCTCCCAAACAGAAGGGACTACAGGCGTGTGCCACCATGCCTGGCTAATTTTTGTATTTTTAGTAGAGACAGGGTTTCACCATGTTGGCCAGGCTGGTCTCGAACTCCTGACCTCAGGTGATCCACCCACCTTGGCCTCCCAAAGTGCTGGGATTACAGGCATGAGCCACCGCGCCCAGCCTTCCTTTAAGACAGAGTCTCACTCTATCACCTAGGCTGGAGTGCAGCGGCATGATCATGGCTCACTGCAACTTCAACCTTTTAGGTTGAAGTAATTCTCCCATCTCAGCCTCTCAAGTAGATGGGACCACAGGCTCACACCACTATGCCTGGCTAATATTTTCAATCTTACCTTGTAGTTTGATTTTAGGCATAGCTCTTACAAGTAATATAGTTAGATTTTTACAATCCAATGTGATAATCTCTTTTAAACACAGGTATCAGTTTACATTTACCAAGACTATTGATAAATTCCCATTTATTTTTATATCGTTTTTGCTTATTCTCTCATTGCTTCTTTTGTGCCTACTTTCTTCCTTTTTTTTGGGTATGGGGAACAGGGTCTCATTCAGTCACCCAGTCTGGAGTGCCAGTTCACTGTACTCTCAAACTCCTGGGCTCAAGTAATCCTCCCACCTCAGTCTCCAAGTAGGTGGGACAACAGGCATGCACCACCACGTCTGGCTAATTTTCTGAAAATTTTTTGTAGAGACGGGAGTCTCACTATGTTGCCCAGGCTGGTCTTAAATTCCTGGGTGCAAGCAATTCTCCTGCCTTGGCTTCCTGAAGTATTGGGATTACAGGTGTGAGCCACAACACCTGGCCTGTTCCTATTTTAATTCTTTTGCTGTGTCTTTATGGCCAACAAATTCAGCAATACCATAGCTACATTATCTCTAAAACATCAATGCTGGAGCTGCCATCAGAAAACAAGGTCAACTTTGAACAGTTTATTTTCCTTAATAGGAAAATGAATGAGACGGGGTCTCCTTTTCTTAAGAAAATGAACACTAACTTTGTGACAAAGCAGCCACTTGTGATAAAACACCATTATTGTGATTATTTTCAATGTCCGTAAGAGCAAAACCATCTCAAAGCAGTTTTTTGATTTAAATTTAGTTTATTACTATTTTTTTTTTGAGATGGAATTTCGCTCCTGTTGCCCAGGCTGCAGCACAATGGCGCAATCTCGGCTCACTGCAACCTCCGCCACCCGGCTTCAAGTGATTCTCCTGCCTCCGTCTCCTGAGGCTGGGAGTAGCCGGGACTACAGTCATGGACCACCACGCCCGGCCAATTTGTATTTTTAGTAGAGATGGGGTTTCTCCATGTTGGTCAGACCGGTCTCGAACTCCCAACCTCAGGTGATCCGCCCACCTCAGCCTCCCAAAGTGCTGGGATTACAGGCATGAGCCACCGTGCGTGGCAGTTTTTTGCACTGTAAATAAAGATTCTTAAGATGTATAGTCTAAATTACAGGGTTTTTCCCCCTATTGCTGATTCTAATTTTGTTCATGGTACTGGGGCAGAATCTTGGGTTTCAAGCAAATGGATTACAATGTTTCATAACCTTTGAGGCCTCCAGCTCTTTAATTTTGTCTTCAGCCTCTGTCAGTTTATCCTTCAAAGCTGCAATTTCCTTTTCCATTGGCATCACAACAGACCGAAGTTTCTCAGCATCTTCTTGGGCCTATGGTTAAAAAGAATTAAATGCCACGACTTATTCATTTACTGCTTTCCTAAGAAACTCTAACCCTTCCATTTGCTAAAACTTAATATGTAACAAGTAACTCGACCAGGCACTATATTAACATTCACAAAACTGAATTAATGTCTAACTTTCAAATAGTGCATTACTTTGAATGTCAAGGTATAATTGAAGTTTTCCCAAATATTCTATTTAGAATTTGGGAATGGGAAAACTGATTGACTAAAACAAATTTGACTTGTTAATCAATTAAGAAAATAGCCAATATATAAAAGGAAATACACATAATAATTTTTTTTTTTTTTTTTTTTTTTTTTTGAGACGGAGTCTCGCTCTGTCGCCCAGGCTGGAGTGCAGTGGCGTGATCTCGGCTCACGCAAGCTCCACCTCCCAGGTTCACGCTATTCTCCTACCTCAGCCTCCTGAGTACCTGGGACTATAGGCACCCGCCACCACACCTGGCTAATTTTTTTTATTTTTAGTAGAGACAGGGTTTCAGTGTTAGTCAGGATGGTCTCGATCTCCCGACCTCATGATCCGCCCGCCTCGGCCTCCCAAAGTGCTGGGATTACAGGCGTGAGCTACCGCGCCCAGCCCATAATGATTTTTTAAATTCCTGGGTTACTAAGTTCATGAGACAATAATTTCTTATGAATAATGAAAGGGCTGATTATATTTTAAACACCCAAAATAGAATAATGTGTTTTCCAAAATGTTAGAAAATTATGTTGCTATAAAAAGGCCTCCATCCAATTAAACAGAGTACTTTAAATATTATTTTACTTTTACCATCTAAATGAAACAAACCCAAAGAATGACCCTTAAAACTATCATTGTTTTCCAAAGTCCATTCTCAAAAACATGGATTAAAAGGAACCAACTTACATAAACTAGTAAACTGGTGAGAAAACGAATTTTCATTTCTTATATATACATACACTTACACGCAGAGAAACAAAGGCAGGCTCAAAAAGTTGGCTTTTTTCCTTCTAGAGAAACTGAAAACCTAATTCACTGAATTTAAATGGGTGCAAACTTTCCTAAGTTGTGCACGATAGGGAAAAATATCATAAATGCCCAAACGTGAGGTGGATTTTCCCCAAAACACATATCCCTCAAAAAACAGGGGTTCAGATTCACTTTGTTTTCAGGTCCTTACAAAGTCATCATTTATTTTATTTTGAATTAAATACTACTTGGAAAAGACAAGTTAAAATATCTCAGTCAAGGCTAGTTTAGGATGCTGATAAAGGTCATCTGATAAAAAACAACAGGGAAAAATAAGGAGGGAGGAAGCCAAGAATTGATCACAAATCAAGTTATTTATTAATATAAATATGACTTCACAATTCCAAGTGCTGAATGTCATCATAAACAAAACCTTTAAAGAGCACTTTTAAAAATGACAGAAAGGTCATTAAAAACAAGGAAAATCTGAGAAACTGTCACAGCCAAGAGGAACCTAAGGAGACATGACTAAATGCAATGTGGTATCCTGGATGGGATCCTAGAACAGAAAAAAAAAGGACATTAGGTAAAAACTAATGCAATCTGAATACAAAAATGGACTTAGGTAATAAGAATAAATTGATACGGGCTTATTAGCTGTGACAAATGTACCATGCTAATGTAAAACATTAACAACAGGGGAAACTAGGCATGGAGTATATAGGAACTATCTTCCCAATTTTTCAGATAATCAAAAACAGTTCTAAAAAAATAAAAGATTGTGGAAATCATGAATACACATACATTTGAAGAATGAACTAAGAAATAAGAACCAAAAAGGCATGATAAATTCAATTGAAAAGAAAAATCAATTACTAATTATTTTATATAATGTGATTTTAAATATGTGTATGCATATAAAATAATGTAAAAGTTCATTTAATTAAACTGGCTCAAAAGCTTTTAATATTTTCTCAATGATAAAATGTCTCACTTTACATTTAGTTGCCTTATGTTCAAGTATTATATGGTATTATGTTCAAGCATATGTGGTACATAATGTGGTACACAGAAACCAAAGGACACTGAGAAAGAAGGAAAACTAACATCTATTCTAGAACTTCGCTTTAGACACAGTCATCAAGCAACAACACCCACTCAACTGATACTTAGGAATTCAAGCACCTATCTCCTAGACACTATGCTAAGCATTTAGGATATACAAATAAAAAACAAGCACATGTTCCCCCGAATCTATTAAAAAAAGAGAGAGAGAGAGAGAGAAAGAGAAACTCTTGCCTTCACAGAGCTTATATTTTAGCAAGGAAAGAAAGACAGTAAACAATAAACACAACAGGTGAACTCTGTATAGTATAAGGAAATACGTGCTATGGAAAGAGAAAAACTAGAGAAGGATAAGGGAGACGAGAGTAGTGACAGGCGGCAGAGGGAAGTTGGCAGGCTGTGATGTTAAATGGCAGGTGGTCGGGATAAACCCCATGAAGTAGTGACATTTGATCAAAACTTTGAAGAAGATGACAGAGTTAGCCACAGATACAACATTATTTAGTACTATGTTTAGGTCTGTGTCCAAATAATTACTCTCACAGGAAATATCAAAGTACTTCTATTACTTTCTATTACACAACAATATTAGAGCACTCTGCATTTGAATTCAAATATTTCTATAGATGAACACATTCCTTCATACCTTTTTCATTTCATTTTCTAAATTTTCCTCCTCTTGACCTTCAGACAGCCTTCTTCTTAAGTCAGCTATTTCCCTCTCTGCGGATTCTCTATACTGTGCCCACTGTGCTCGCTCCTGCTCCAGCCTAAGGTGGAACTGGTGCTCATAGTCACGAACTGTTTCTACAAAACATCACCACATATTTCACATCTAAGCATTATGAAAAAAAAATAAAATAACCTGGCACACGAAAATTTTTAAAGTTATATAAAAAGCTTACGTCTAATTTCTGGAAAATGTTTAATTCACTAAAAAACAAAACAAACTAGTTGTAGTTCTTATGATATACAGAAATAAAGGCTTTAAATCATCACTTCTAATCTTCACAATAAACCTGTATTATTTTACGAATGAGAGAATCTTAGGAAAGGTTAACTAGTCTGGCCAATGTTTCACGCCCAGAATGAAGCAAAGCTAGAATTCAAACTTAAAGCCAACTCCAAAATCTATGTTCTTAGACATATACTATGGTTCCCAAGGCAAATATAATATGTCGCCCCAATCCCACTACCTGGAAGTGTGAGAAAAGGGATATATTTCTGGAATAGTTTACTAAAACCCAAGATTGTAACTTGAGGCAAACTCTATAAGCTCTTTAAAAAATGGCTTTCTCTTTGATATAATCCTAAAATATGGCCAGGCTTAGTGGCTCACACACACCTGTAATCCTAGCACTGTGGGAGGCAGACAGGAGGATCACTTGAAGCCAGGATTTCAAAACCAGCCTGGCTGACATGGCAAAACCCCATTTCTACCAAAGAGAGAAAAATTGCCAGGTGCGGTGGCTCATGCCTGTAACCCCAGCACTTTGGGAGGCCAAGGCAGGTGGATCACCTGAGGTGAGGAGTTCGAGACCATTTTGGTCAATGAGGTGAAACCCCGTCTCTACTAAAATTACAAAAATTAGCCAGGCGTGGTGGTGGGCACCTGTAATCCCAGCTACTGGGGAGGCTGAGGCAGGAGGATCACTTGAACCTGGGAGGTAGAGGTTGCAGTGAGCCGAGATCGTGCTACTGCACTCCAGCCTGGGTGACAGAGTGAGACTCTGTCTCAAAAAAAGAGAAGGGAAGGGAAAGTGAAAGGGAAAAGAAAAGATTATCTGGGTGTGATGGCATATGTCTGTGGTCCCAGCTACTTGGGAGGCAGAGGCACGACAACTGCCTGAACCCAGGAGGCGGAGGTTGCAGTGAGCCGAGATCGCGCCACTGCACTCAACCCTAAGTATCTCAAAAAAAAAAATAATAATAATAATAATTATGTGACAGACCCTCTTGATTGCCCATTAATTTCCACTCCTTCGTCCTTACTGGTAAGACTCCAATTTTGTTTAGGAAATCAGTGTGCGCAATTTTAAAACCACATTGTCCAGTTTCCCTTGTAGTTATGAGTGACCACACACTTGGTCAACAAAGTGAAAGGGATATGCTGGGTAGTTCTAGAAAACTTTTGCTTTTCTGATGCAGACTGAAGGAGAAGCAGCTATTTTTCAGCTAAGGCAAAGATTAAGTTGAAAACCATATGCTAAGGATGAAAGAACAGAAGGGCTGAAGGAGTCTGAGGCATTGTTGACATCATGGAACCAACGCAACCAGGCCTGGGGTATCTACCTTTGGATTTCGTGTTCTGGGAGAAAAACGAACTCCTATTTTGGTAAATCATCGTAGTCAGGTTTGTTACATGAAGCCTAGAGTAATCTCTAGGTCATAGCTACATACTCAGAAATAGGGCTAGCTTCACCTGCCTTTTTATAAAGAGCACTAAGGCAAAAAGTGACACACAATTGCAAACACGGTGGAAAAAGTCATCACTATTTCACATTTAGAATATTAACTAATCCAGGCCGGGCGCGGTGGCTCACACCTGTAATCCCAGCACTTTGGGAGGCCAAGGCAGCCAGATCACGAGGTCAGGAGATCGAGACCATCCTGGCTAACACGGTGAAACCCCGTCCCTACTAAAAATACAAAAAATTAGCCAGGCGTGGTGGCTTGTGCCTGTAGTCCCAGTTACTTGGGAGACTGAGGCTGGAGAATCGCTTGAACCAGGAAGGCAGAGGTTGCAGTGAGCCGAGATCGTGCCACTGCACTCCAGACTGGGCGACAGAGTAAGACTCCGTCTCAAAAAATAAAAAATAAAACAGAATATTAACTAATTCCAGGAACCCAAGGATTCAGTGACAACTTACTTTGTTTCATCATCATCTTCTCAGAAATTTGGGAAGTAATGAAGCACTAGTGCCAAAAGGAGTCTGAGACTAACTATGTCTCTTCTTTTAGACGAAAGGTGGCAGCCCATGAAGCCTACCCTAGCCTAGGCCATTCTACCCAACACAGTGCAGTGAAGATTTCACATACAAAGTTTCTTTAAAAATCTAAGCCAGGCCGGGCGCGGTGGCTCACACCTGTAATCCCAGGACTTCGGGAGGCCGAGGCAGGTGGATCGCCTGAGGTCAGGAGTTCAAGACCAGCCGGACCAACATGGAGAAACCCCGTCTCTACTAAAAATACAAAATTAGCCAGGCGTGGGGGCACATGCTTGTAATCTCAGCTACTCGGGAGGCTGACGCAGGAGAATCGCTTCAGCCCGGGAGGCGGAGGTTGCAGTGAGTAGAGTGAACTGAGACTGCACCACTGTACCCCAGGCTGGGCAACAGAGCGAGATTCCATCTCAAAAAAAAAAAAAAAAAAATTCTAAACCATATGGCCAAACTACACCGGAAGGACAATAATTAGCTGAAGCTCATCAATGTAAACAGTTACTTTACCCTTTGCATGGCAGCTCTCTCTACTCCAGCACATTCCCTGTGCCCATACAGCTTTATTCTTTGACATTACTAGCCTGCCTCCTAGAAGAAATCGACTTTTAAGCCTTACAAAGTACAGTCCTCATTTAATGCATTATCTCTGTAACATTCCTATTATAACTCTCCATTATTAAGTTAGATAGGATTGATATACCCATTTATGTTATCAGTGATTTCTCTTTTATCTGAAAGTATATCTTGATGATGACAGTACATAAAACCACAAATGAAACTCTGGATATATTTTAAGATTCTCTGAAAATATTCTCAATCATCAGAATCGGGTATCTTAGAAAATCAAAAAATTGATCTCTGTTTGTCTTTACCTTTCATAACAGCCTGAAGTGAAGCAACTTCTTCTCTCCACTGTCTTTTCACTTCATCTATAGCTTCTTGCTTGGTGTTCTCAGAGACTGTGGCAATCGCCTTAATATTCTCCATCTCTGCTTGAGCTTCCCACAGCTGGGTTCGAAGGTGTCCCAAATCATCTTGTGCAGCTTGTAATACTGCATTTTGCCTCTTCAGATCCTCTGGAGAGAAAAGTAAAAGACAGTCCATTAATGTTCACTTTCATCAGACTGGCATTCCGATAAAGAAATAAGATATTAAATTTAAAAATATAAACATACAAAATGACACCCTTTTAATAGAGATGAGACTTAAGGTATGCTGGGTATCACAAACCAATTGCTACTATCTATCTAATGATCCAGTGGTTACGGTCATGGTTTTAAAGCTCAATTTACACATTCCCACCTGCTGACTAAATGAACTTGGTCATGTTATTTAATCTCTCTGGCCTAAGTTTCCACATCTGCAAAATGGAAGTTAAAAATAGCCACCTCACAAGGTTGTTGTAATGATAATTTATTGGAAATGCTAATTAGTAACAGTACCTTCTACAAACATTCAAAAGATGTTTAATAAAAGAGAAAAGAAAGCCAGAGCACATGGCAGTGACTAGACCTATGTTCTTTAAAGTTAGCATTAATTTCTCAGCTCCTTCTTACCATCTTTTAAATACTAAGTTGATGTAATGTGCCTCCTACATGGTTTAAGCCCAGGCAGAACATATGTTTGGCCAAACTGACTTCAAAAAAAAGATGAACTTACCAATAGTATATGGGGATGTGTGATTGTTTTCCCATACCCTTAACAACAGTCACTATTTTCCATCTTTTAAAAATTCTTGTAAATATCATGGGTAGCAAATGGTCATTTTAATCTACATTTCCCCTGTTAATAAGGAGTTTGAGCATCTTTTCATATATTTACTACTGACTTATTTCCTGTTTGGTGATATTCTTTACATTTGCTTCTAATGAATGATCTTCCTTCTGATCTGTAAGAGCATTTTATACATTCTGGATATTAAATCTGTCTTCTCTTACAAAACTTTTCCCAGTCAGCTGCTTTCTTAAAAAAAAAAAAAAAAAGTTAAGAGACAGGGTCTCAATTGTCGCCCAGGCTGGAGTGCAGTGACGCAATCATAGACCACTATAACCTCAAATTCCTGGGCTCAAGCGATCCTCCCACCTCAGCCTCCTGAGTAGCTAGGACTGCAGGCCTGCACCATCATGCCCAGCTAATTTTCGAAATTTCTTGTAGAGACAGTTTCACTATGCTGCCCAGGCTGGTCTTGGCCTCCTGGGCTGAAATGATCCTCTCGCCTCAGCCTCCCAAAGCGCTGGGATTATAGGTGTGAGACACCGCGCCCGGCCTTACCTTATGTCTTTTAGCATCTCAACTTGTACGGTATTTATGAAAAAAAAAATTGTTTATCTTTTAAAATTATCAATTTCCTCTCCAAAGCACAATAACTAAGCCAAACTGACCAAGAAAATAAACTGATTTAAGATCTAACTCTACCACTAACCAGCTGATGACTTTAAGGAAATCACAAGACTCGGAAGTCTCGGTTGCCTCATGAAGACAGTGGCAATACTTTCTTGCAAAAATTTCTAACTACTTATAAAAATCCAATAGTAAAATAAAAGAACTTTTAAATGTTGTGAAACATTCATTGTTATCAAACAATCACAGGAGTTAATGATTTGGTAGTCCAAGTTACAGAGGGAAATACCTAGTCATGCTAAGTTGTTCTGAAATCTTGACTCTCTCAACATCAGTTTCCATCGCTCTTAAAATACTCTGAATCTCTAGCCAAAGACAGTTTTAAGATCATTAATTACAAAAAGGAACTGTGTAAAGTCGCTTAAAGACGGACACCTAGGAAGTCGTGGTAGGCATGCAACTAGGACTAACCCAGAAAGTTACAAACACGTGAAACCACAAAGGAAAAGTTTATGTGTGTCAACTCTATATTCTGAGTGTCAAACTGTTTCATAAAAAGTGAAAAAAAAGAAAAAGCATTATTTCTGGGGTATTTTATTCATTTTTGGGTACTACAATTTTTTTCAAGGCTCAAGTTTACATACTTAACAGGTCCTCGTGCTAATTACCTCTGGTACTTTTGATTTGTTGGAGATTACCCAGAGGTATTCACTACCAAGCTGTCATTATGAAAAGAAAAACTGTAAACAAATACCAGACCTAAATATCCATTTTTGGCACTTAAAAGTCAAATAGAGAGCCTGGAGGAAAACTTGGTCAACACTAACTTTAGTTATTATATATGAATATATATGTGAATGTTATATTTATATATATAATACAAAAAAACAGGAGACAGAAGTTTAAAATAAAGTTAGAAAATCTTAATTTTTTGTAGTAAAGCATTTCAAACACATTTGTCAATAGTAGGAGTTCCAACATTCGTTTATTGCTTTTACTGCTGTATATGTAATTATAAAAATTTTCAAGCATATTCAGAAGTTGAGGATATACTACAACAATCCTTCATACAACTTTCACCAAGACTCAACAGGAATCAAGATTTGGCAGACTTATTTATTTTTTGAGACAGAGTCTCGCTCTTGTTGCCCAGGCTAGAGTGCAGTGGCACGATCTTGGTTCACTGCAACCTCTGCCTTCTGGGTTCAACAGATTCTCTTGCTTCAAC